GTTACACATTTCACAAGTAACACATACCGGCGCTGACAGAACCATGCCCAGTCAGTTCAGAGCCCTTCAGATCCGAAATCCTGATACACAACCCCCACAATGCACTCGGGCTATTTGATACGCCCCCTGCTGGTGACACCCTACACCTTCTGCCGCGGCGGTTATCTCTCCAACACAGACCAATGTGCCTTTGATTACGCTGATTGCCTGTCTATTCGCTGGTGCCACTGGCTTAGGCCCTATTCTGATTAGAGACGGGGGGAAACCTTGTAAATACGCCGCGCACCATAAACTATTTCCTCGTTACATCAAAGTGGCGCGGATGTTGTAAGCCACGATCGTAATTGCTACAAAGCACAGCCCCCCCCCTCCGTTAGCGGCCGCAGACTGCCCCTCGGAGACCCCCCCGCCTCCCCGTAAGGCAGGCTCTTAGCGGGACGGCTGTGGTGGCTAATTTAAGAGGCAGCCCTAATGGCCATTGATATTAAGGTTAACGAGGAGGAAGTGAACTCTGTGCTAATAGACAGGCAGAAAGTGGATGGATTAGAACCCCAGTTTGACCGTTTTTTTTGTTTTTCTGCGGACCAGAACCTTCCGTTTCCATACCAGAGCTAGTTTCTTTCCCTCTCCAGTCCGAACACTTCATAACTCATCCATAGTCCTCTGCCGTTTATGATTATCACCTTATACTACTGCCCCTTTAACCTACACTTATAAGAGTACACGTATAAAGTAGACATTTTGAATGAATATTTGTAGAAAAGATGTTTTACTTTTATATCTTGTTTGCACCTTGAGTCAAAGCAAATTACTAGTTTGTGACTTCCTGTTGCTTACAATGGCACTAAAATAATTCTCATTTTGATTCTCATTCTTATAAAATGTTAACTCTAGGTCATGTACAATGCTTGACACGTGAAATGTGAAAAGTTCAAATGCAAAAAAAAAAACAGTTTTGTATTGTTGGCATTATATTTGAAAGGTATACAATTTGTTTTTTACTAAGTAGTTTTGTAAAAGTCAGGTATATTTTAGTGGCGAACAACTAAATGAATTTGTGATTCCACCAATTTCAGATCAGAGAATCAAACACACCATTGGTCCATAGGGGGCGTGTGACCATCAATGTCCTTAAATGTCTTTCATATTTACGGCCGACAACAAAACAGGTTGAAGATTGCAGCTTGAGGAATACAACTTTTTGGCAAACTTTCACAACTGAGATATGTGCTTTTGTAAATTACATTTTTGGCCACAATTCTGAGATTCTGAATGAACACTTTTCCCACTCATTGTTTACATGTACATTTCTCCATTGTGAGATCAATAAAGTTTATCTTATCTTATCTTGTTAGTGCTTATGTGAACCATGTATTGTCAAATAAAAGTGTTATATATTTTCAAATGATAATGACTTGAAAGAAGTTCCTCAAATGACCCTGATTAGAAGTCTCCATCCCCCAGTTCTCATTAGCATGTGTTGCCTTGTTTTCATCTATAACACATTGGAGTCTCTTTGTGGCGTCTGTAGTTGAGTTTTCTCTGAGGTTTGACGGTAAATCTGACCATTTGTCTCGGTAAAAACCTTCCCATTTATCCATCCATTTTCCTCCGCATTATACGGTTCCCGGCGGCAGGGGCAGCAGTCTAAATCCTTGTACATCTACATGTAAATGTGAAAAAAAACTGTACATCTGACGTCTCCATTGAGCAGCTCAGTGATGTCATAATTGTCAAAAACATGACACGCACAACCAGCAACCATGAATGGGAAAAAAACGTTATTGTGTTATCATCAAGGATCTTTGAAACATGACATTTCTGACAGAAGACATAAACTTTAAAACCTTTAAATACCAGCTATTTCTTTCATGTTATTATGTTTTTGGTTTGAGAAGTCATGAGTTTTTGTCAATATATAAACTTGTGTATCTTTGGATTTTCACTCAATTGTTGTTTATATTAGAAGTCTCAATATTGAATAAAATAAATTCTTTAAACACACACACGTAAACACACACACCTGCTTCCTCTGTGATAAAAATGTTCCATGTCGATTGTTGCACCTTTAAAGTGATAGTCTGTAACTCTAAATGAATTAAACATCTTAAGAATTGTATTAAATTGACCTCCTGACCTTAAATGTTGATATAAAATAAGTCAGTTTATTAATTCTAATATTACAGTTAAGTCCCGCCTTCGCTTCTCTTAGCTATTGCTAGAAATCCACGATGCCGTCGAGGTTAACCAATCGAGTCATGCCAAGGGCTGTCAATCATCGCGCTGATGCTCGCAGCTTCGCGCATGCTCAGTTGTTTGTTCTTGCAGAACCTCCGAATCACGCCTCTATTAGGCTCTGCAACTACATGAAAACTGAACAAAGAATTCTGAACATCTGCGCTGAATAAGAATACATAGAATAAATCATACTGAAACACTAAATGGAATGTGTTAGGCTCATCTATTTTTTTGCTTACCAAGGTGGGAAATATCATGGCAACACATGAATGAGCCAAAAAAATAAGGCTCATGTGACATTCATTGAAAGCTAACTCGATTTAGTAATTGTTTATACGCTGCAAAATATAAGATCAGAAATGCTTGAATCAAGGTTTTTTATCTTAATTTGAGTATATTCTGGCAATGGAACAAATTGAGCCGGAGGTTTTCCCCAGTGCCCCCCGCCTTCAGAGCCCACTTTGAAGGATGGCAGGAATGGGGCCAGCCCACGAAAATTGGGGAGCCTTGCCCCCCGATCAGAAAGAAGTTGAAAAGACCACAGGTAAAAAAAATATGGGATGGCCCCTTATTGATTAGGAGTCCCCCCCTCCCCCGTTTTTTGAACGGCCCCTTCCCACGCAAGCCTACCCTACCTTTGACCATTTACCCCTCCGGCCCGCCCCAGCCCCTGCAATCCCTGAAAATAGAATCCCCGGAAAAAAAGAAATTTAATTTAGAATGAGATTGAAGCCAAAAAAATGAAAGAAAACCCCACCGAAGGCGACCAACCCCTGGGAGCACAGGGTGGGGGCGGGGTCCCAGGTGTGCCCCCCAGCGCGGGCAATACTTTCCCCCCCATGCCGGGGCCCTTTTTGCCCCCTCCCCATTAAAAAGCAAGAAATAAGCCCCCCTTTCTGAGAAGAGTTGGGGTTTTTTGCAGCAGTTAAGGCAAGTACAAAAGTAAGCAGAGCCCGGCAAGCGGCAAAAAAAAAAGTTAACCTCCAGAAATTTTTAAAGTAACGGACAAAAACGAACCTTGTTAATCAGCCCGCGGGCATCAAAAGCAAACCCCCTGCCAGCACCCCGTAGAATTAATAACGGCAAAAAAACCCCTGTATCCATAGCCCCCGACGGCCCAGTAGAATATGTTTTTTTTGGTAAAGCTGTTTTAAGTTGGGGTTTTTCAGTAAGAAAAAGAAAGCGAAGTGGGAAGGAGAGGAAATGACGAAGTTACATGGAAAGCAGGCTAAGCAGCAAGCCAAACGGCAGTAAAAACAGGTAGCAAAAAAGCAGCGGGTAAAAAAAAAGCAGTTTATGGAAAAAGCCAGCAGAAAGCAGCCAAAAATCAAGCGGGAAAAAAAGCAGCCAGCCAAACCAACAAAAGCCGATTTTTCCATCATAACCGAAAAACAGACCCAGCAAAACGTTGTTTTCCCCCCCCCCAGTTCTGGATTCGCCGCGAGTTATGGGGTGGGGGCCCCCCCCGCCGCGGTTTGTTCCTCCATGAAGCCCCCCCCCAGGTTTTTTAACATACGTAGATCCTCCTGAAAAAAAGGAGGCCCGGAGCCCCACAACCAGAGACCCCCAGGTGGCAAAGCCCTGGGAAAAGCCTGCCGGGAAAAACGGTCAAAAAAAAAAAAGCGGCAACAATGGTAGTATAGCGTAGGAGTCAAAATAAAAGCAGGAAGCAGGCCACAACAGGTGAAACAGACCGGCCCCCAGCAAGGAGCCGGGCAAGCTAGGAACAGGCCAGCAAAGGGCAGGAAAAAAAAGGCGGGCCAGCCAAAAGGAACCGGCGGCGGCCGGGACACATCGGCCCCCCCCAATCCAGTAGGGAAAAAAAACGGCAAAGCCGGGGGGGAACCGGGCAGCAGCGGGCGGTTTCCCCCCCCGAAGAAACCAATTGGCCCACGGGTTATTTTTGTTAAAACAAGCCCCTGAACAGGAAAATAAAAATTTCCAACCCCCCGAAAATCCCGAAACAATTTCCCAAATTATGCGGAAAATTAAAACAAGAACCGTCCCCCCCCCCCTGGGAGCCCAATTTCTTTGCCCTGCTTTTTGGTTTTATATGGGGCAGATTGCCCGCAAATGAAAAACGATCACGGAAATTCCAGGCGTTTTCCCCATACGTTCCCCCAACACAAACTACTTTTCAAACCAACCCATTGCCCAGATTCAAACGGTTCCGGCCCGGCCCCGTTATTTATTCCTTCCCTTGCTGCCCCAAACTGTTTTTTCAAAAATGCCAAACCCAACTGGCTGTGAGTTTTTTTTTTTTTTTGTACCCCAAATTTTAAATAACTTATGACCTAGCTTTTTAATTTTAAAAAAATTGCATGGTTTTTTTACTGGCCCAAGTGGCAAGGAAAAACCTGGGGGGATAAATTTCTGCAATTAAATGTCCAACCAAATAGCACCTCGTAAAATAAATCCCTTCCCCATAACCCGAATAGAGAATTTTTTTTGGAAAAAAAAATGCCATTTTTTTAAATATGCAAATTTTGGCCCCCTCCGGTTACTCAGACAAACGTAGTTGGGAAAAAAAACCGGGAGCCCCCTGTTAGAAAAACCCCAATGCAACGGGGCCCCGGAGAAAAAAACCTGGTGGCGCCCCCCCCCTGCCAGTCCCCCCCCGCCCAAGTGCCCGCCTGGGCCCAAAAAAAAAACCCAATCCGCCTGCAGCCCAACGAGAAAAAACTCCGGGAAAAAATTAATCTGTCCCGCCGGGTTCACCCCCCCCAGGCCACACTTTCCCTCCCCCGTTGTTTACCTCCACAATGGCCCCAGGGAAGAAAAAACTTGGGGGGAAAAAGCAACGGGGGAAAAAAAAAAAAAACCCCAAAAACCGCCGGGGGGCAAAACCCGCCAAATTAGTCCGGAGGCCAGGGAAAAAAAACCACGCCAAAAAAAAAAAAACGGGCCCCCACCCCCGCCCAAGAACCCTTTTTTTCTTGCCCCCGTTGGCGGCAACGCAGGAAAACCCACGAGGAAACGAGCCGCAAAACAGAAACCCGCCGGAGGGGCCCCCCCCCCGCGGAGGGCCAAAGCCCCCCACGAGAAAAAAGAGCCCCGCCAAGCGGAGGAGTAGCAAGTGGGGGAAATTTAAATGCGAACCACAAAAGCTAGGTGCAGGGGAAACCGGAGGGCAGGAGGCAGGCCAGTTGGGGGCAGGAAACGCAAGAGGAGCCAGAACCACGAGCCCCCAGGCCCAGAACGGGGAAGGGGAAAAACCCCGCCAGGGGGACCGCGCCGAAGTTTCGTGAGTAGACCGAAAAAAACCGGATTTCCCCTCCCCCCAACCGTTTCTTTTTTTCTTTTTGGCCAAAAAGGCTTTTTCCAGGGAGCATGCAAGGCTTCCCGAGGAAAGGCCCCCCCCGAGAAGGGGGGAAAGGTTATATTTGACCCCCCTTGCCCCCCCCGTTTTACCTTATTCCCGCCTTTTTTAAGGCGGCCCTGCCCCCCCCTTGTTTCCCCGGGCCCCAACCGGTATGGATTGAAAAGGTGGGGGCGGTTTTTTGCTGAGCGAAATTTAGAGCCTTGGGGAAAGCGCCGATCCGCCCCTGGAGGGGGTAGCTTTTTTTTGGCTTGGAAAAAAAACGTTCCCCTTTTCCTAAAAAATTGAAATTTTTTTGTATCGCGACTACAAATTTTAACAGACCCTGGTTTTTTATTTTTGTTAAAAAGGTTTTTTTTTTTCCCCCATATTTTAAGTAAGCACTCCCCCCTGTTGTGCTTTGGGCTACTTTTCCCCGTGGGGTTTAAGGGGAAATTTTTAATCCATACATTTCCCGAACGCAAATGGGGGGGGTCTTTTTTTGTTTTTTTTTGGTTTATGTCCTTTTGTTGAATTTTTTTATAACCAATGGGTTGTGGACTGCCCGTTTATGGCGGCTCCCCAATAACAAGTTTGTCTTTTTAAAGCCCTCCAAAAAAATGACCCCAAATAATAAACACAAGGGGAAAATAAACCAAAAAATAGTGGCATTTTTTGTGGGCCTTTTTTGGCCATTTTGTAAATTTGAAAAACCCCATTTTTTCCCTCTTAAAATCCTTTAGTTTTTTTTCCCTGCAAAAATTTTTTTCCCCCCCCCCTGCCTTTTTGAGGTTGGTACTTTAAGGTAAAAAATTTTCGGGGGAAAGGGCTGTTTTTTACCCTTTTGAAATTCAAATGGGTGGCCATAAAAATGTTTCCCCTTTGGTTTTTTCTTTTTTTATCTATTTTTAGAAGAGGCCAATGTGTTGTTTTTTTTTTTTTTTGGCACAAATTCCCTTTTTTTTCTTCCCCCTGTCTGGGCATTGCCCTTTAAATTTTTTTGCCTGGCCACAAAAAAACCAGGAATCCATATTTTTTTGAAACACTACAGTTCCCCCCCCCCTCCTTCTTTTTCCAATCTTTTTTTCCCCCTCCTGAGGTCCTTGCTCCTCAATGGCCTTTCCCCCCCTCCCCTTTGTGTCCTCCCTCATCTTTTCCCTCCCTGAGTCCCACCCCCCCCCCCTTGCTCTTACATGGGCTTTCCCCCTCCCCCCCCTGGTTCCTCCCTCATCCCTTTTCCCCCCCTCTGGAGTCTGCCTTCCTCCATGGCTTTTCCCTCACCTGGGTGTTTATTTCGCCCATGTTTTCATCTTCCTCTGAGTCCCCCTTGCTCCTTTCAATGGCTTTTTGTTTCCCCTCTGGGGTTTCTCTCCATCCTTCCCTCCCCCCTGAGTTTCCCCTGCCTCCCCTCATGGGCCCTTCCCTCTTGTTTTCCTCTCCAAAATCTGCCCTTTTCCCCCTCTGAGTCCCCCCCCCCCCCCCCTGCCTGTCCCCTCCCCCCCCATGGCTTTTTCCTCCTGTTTTCCCCCTCTCAATTCCTTTTCCCTCCCCTGAGGTCCCCAATCCCTTGCTACTCCTCCCAGGGGGCGTTCCCCCTCCTGTGTTTTGTTTTTTCTTCTGCATCAATCCTTTCCTCTTGAGTCCCCCCCCGGCCCCCCTCCTTTCATGGCCTTTTCCCCTTCCTGTGCTTCTCCATCCGTCCCCCCTCCCCTCTCAAAGAGTTCCCCCCCCCCCCCGGTCCTGCTCTCATGGCTTTCCTCTGTTTTTTTCACCCCGTCAAAAATCTTGTTTTCCCTCTTGAAAGAGTCCCCCCCCCCCCCCTGCCCTTTTCCCCTCATTCATGGCTTTCCCTCCTGTTTTCTCTGCATCTTCCCCCCTGAGGTCCCTGGCCTCCCTTACTAATGGCTTTTTTCCTCTTTTGTTTTTTTGGTCTCTCCCATCCTTTCCCCAAGTCCTCCCCTGCCCCCTTCCCTCATTGGCTTTTTTCCCTCTGTTGTTCGGGCGCTCATCTTTTTCTTTCCTCTGAGTGGCCCCCCCTGGCCTCCTTTCTATGGGCTTTTTTTCCCCTCTGGGGGTTGTCCCTCTCCTTACAAATCCAATCTGCCCCTTCTGAGTAACCCTGGCTTCCCTTTTCAATGGGCTTTCCCCCCTCTGATTTTTTCTCTTCATACCTTTTTTCCCTCTGGAGTTTGGTACACCCTGCCCGTCCCTCCCCAATGGCTTCCCCTCTGTTTTTTTTCTCCCAACATCTTTCCCCCCACCTCTGAGTTCCCCCCCCCCCCTGGGGCCTCTCATGGGCCTTTTTTTCCTCCCTGTTTCTCCATCAATCTTTCCTCCTGAGGGTTTTCCCCCCCCCCCCCCCCCCCCCCCCCTGCTTTCTCATGGGCCTTTTTCCTCTGTGTTTTTTATGTCCGCCGCCCCTCATCTTTCCCCCCTCAGAGTTCCCCCTGCCTCTCATGGCGTTTTCCCCCTCCTGTTTTTGACCCTCCTCAATCTTCTCAGAGTCCCCCCCCCCCATGCCTCCTTAATATGGGCCCGTTCCCTCCGTTTCCAGGTCTCCATCCTTTCCCCTTCCTGAGTCCCCTGCCTTCTTCCATGGGCTTCACTCCTGTTTAATTTTTTTCCGTCCCTCATCTTCCTACCTGAGTCCCGCCCCATCCCCATTGGCCTTTTCCTCTGTTATTCCTCTCAATCTTCCCCTCTTCCCTGTTTATCCCTTTCCTTTTTTTTTTCCCTCTTCCTTCACACCATATAGGGCCCCTTCCCCCCCTCCCCCCCTGTTTGCCGCTCCCATATTTCCCCACTAGGTATTCCCCACACCCCGCCCCTTTCCATCTCCAAAACCTTTTTTCCCCCACACTTCCTTTTTTTTCCCCCCTGCCAAAAAACTCCTACTGTCCCCCCCCCCCCCCCCACCCCCGACCCCCCCCTTCCTCCTCCTTTGTGTTTCCCTGGTGGGGGTTAAGGGATAAAGCAACTCATTTTTTTGTTTTTCCCCCAGTCCCCCCCCCCCCCAAACCCAATGTTAAAACCAGCCTTTTTAGAAATTCATTATTGTTTTTTTTCCCTTAAACTGGCATTGTTTTTTTTTTTGAAAATAAATATGGAAAATAGAATAACCCTACAAATAACTAACCAAAACAAAGAAAAAAAAAAAATTTAGAAACAATCCAAAACTGTAAAAAAAAAAAATTTTTTTTTATAGGTTGTTTTTTTTTTTTTTTTCCCTTACTATAAAAATAATTAAAAAAAAATACTATTTTTCCCTGGGTGGTAAACTAATTTAAGAGCCAAATGGGGTTTTTTTTTTTTTACCCAAAAACAGAACACCATTTTTTATCCACCTTTTTTAAATTTAAATTTTTTTGTTTTCAAGGGGCAAAACCCAATTTTTTAAAATGTCATATTAAGAAAAACAACCGCCCCTAAAAAGTTTTTTTTTTGGGGAACCAGCAACTCGAAATTCCGTAGCAGCAGCCAACAGGGGGGGGTCCCCCCCCACCCCCCCACTAACTTCAAAACAGAAAAAGACACGACCGGCAAAACTGGAATTTTTTTTGGTAGTTTTTTTTTTTTTGAAAGCGGGTAAAGATTAAAAACCCTTTTTTTTGTTTTTTTTGTTTTAGTAAAGGGTTTTTTTTAATCATCCCAATGGTGGGAAAGGGAAACACAAAAGTAAGAAATAAGGAACCGTTGCTTTAGAACTGTTTCCCCAAATCTTTCCCCCCCGTGAATTTTTTTTTTTTTGGGCCCCGCCATTCCAGGCCTCAAAAAACCCTGTTTTTGGTGCTGGACAAGAAAACCGGGGGGACGGGGGGGCACCCCCCCCCCGCGGGGTGGAAAGGAAGAACAGTGGGGGGGTGTTTGCAAGGCGGACCCGGCCCCTGAAAAAAATCCTGTGGATCTAAAACGAGAAAAAAAATCATGAATACACCCGGAGAACAGCCAGAAAAAGATTTATTTTATTTATTGTTGGAATGTAAAATTTCAATAAAAAATTTTACAGTAAATTAAAATTTTTTTTTTTTTTGTACTTTGAGCTTTTTTTAAAAGCACCCCCCTAGATTTAAAAAGGCAGGGTCATGGTTAGCACCCAACAAAAAATAAGTAAAAGTGGGGGAGAAAAAAAGTTATTTGGAATAACAGGAAAATTAGGGCAAGGCCCGAAAAAACCCTTACCTATTTTCATTTTTTTGCAAAAACCCCTGGTTGACATAACCCCCTGGTTCCCCCCCCGAACTTATCCGGCCGGTTCTTTCGGTTCCCCCCTTCCCCCTCTTCCCTTTTCCCTTTTGTTCCTTTTTTTTTTTTCCGTTGTTTTTTGGATGCCCTGGACTTTTTGAATAAATGTTGGGACCCCATGGCCCCCCCCTGACAATGGGTTGGTCCCGACCCCCCCCCCCCCCCACCTAATGCCCCTGCAACAACTGCCCAAAAAAACATAATCAATAATAAAAACAAAAATTTTTTTGCAAAAAAAGAAAGCCCCAAGAAAGGAACTTTAAACCCGCCCCCCACGCTTAGCCCGAGGTGGGGGGTAAGCTTTTCGGACCACCCGAAGGTGGAAAAAATGAACACATTTTTTTTTTTTTGGTTTGAGGGGGGGGGGGTGGGGTTTGACTGTTTTTTAAACCATAAGGTTAAACAAAATATTGTTTTTTTTGGTTTTTTTGTTTTTAAAATTTAATTTAAAATTCTTAATGGGGTCCAAAACGGACAAAATAAACACATTGGAAAGTTTGGGTATAAAAAAATGAAGGGGGCCCCCCCTAAGCAACAATTTGTCTCTTAAAAACGTATTGTAAAAAATAAAACAAAAAGAGAAAAGAAAAAATAAGAAAGAAAAAAGAAAGGGTTTCCTGCTCTTTCTGGGGCCCCCCTTTTTCCCAAACAAATCAGCCGGGGCCACCCCTCCCCTTTAAAGACATCGTCCCCCCTACCCCCTTTCCCAACCCCTTTTTTACAAAAGGGCGCCCCAAAAGGCCTCCCCGGGGAAGTAACAAAAAAAAAAGAAAAATGGGGGTAAAACCTTGCAAATCCTTTTTTGGGCTTATTTCCCCCCCATCCCCCCTTTCCATTTTCCCGAGGGCCCCCGGGAATTTGGGGTTTTTTTTTTTTGTTTGTTTATCAAAGGTCTTGTGTTTTCTTCCCCCCTGGGCCCGAAATTTAAAGGCACATTAACCGATCCCACAGTTTTTTAAAAACCCACTTTTAAATTAATTCCCCTCTTTTATGCTTTTTTGGAAATAAACCCCTTCACCACACTTGTAAACATTGCGGAAAACAAATTTCCACACACCAGTGTTTTTTTTTTTAATGGCAAAACCGAAATTAATTAACTTTTTTGGGTTTCCCATCTTTTTTCAATTCATACCCAAAGAAAAAATGAAATAATGGTTGTTCTTTTTTTATTTTCCCTGTAACTTTTAAACCCGGAAAACCATCAAATTTTGACTTTGGTAAATAAAGCCCCAGAGTTAAACTTTAGTTTGTTGTTTATTCCCCCAATAAACCCCTGGGGGAATAAGGTAAAATCCCAAAATTTTTAATTTTTATTTTTGTCCCCCCTTTTTTTTTTTTTTTTTTTGTTTTTTTTTTTTTTTGACAAAGAAAAAACCCCGCGGCGCGGGGGAAAAACGGCCCTTGCCAAAAAAAGGTATTGAGTAAGCCTCTGAAACAGTTTTTTTTTTTGGTTTGTTTTTTTTGGTTGCTTTTTTTTTAACAATTGTTTCCTATGTTGTGTGTAGGTCTCGAGGGGTGTTCGGGCGGGGGCCTGGTTTTTTTTTTTTTTTTTTTTTTCCCTACCTTGAGATTGTTTTTGCTGTGCAAGTAAATAAAAAACAGTTGGGGTGGGGGGGCCCATAGTTTTTGTTATTGTTTGGCACGGGGAGGCGCGCCCACGGGGACCCCCCGGAAAGGGCGAAAGAAAGGATTTTCAATGGGTTTTGTATTGTTGTTACACAAACTGGGTGCCCAGAAAAGGGGAGGGACCGGAGGCGCGGGGGGGAGAGGGAAATTCCCCCCCCTAAAAGTCCCTGATCCTGGAAAGGAAATGTCCTTTAACCTTTTTTTTTTTTTTGTTTTTTTTTTTTTTTTTTTTGGAAAAAATCGCCCCCTTATTTAATAAACATTTGAAAAAAAGCATTTCTTTCCCATTTTTTTTTTTTACTTTTTTTGACCTAAAGAAAAGGCCAAGCAAGAAAAAACGTCACCAAAAAATACCAATGCGCCCGGCACCAAACAAAATTCTCCCCCTGCTTGCCCTGGGTTGGAAACCCTAGGTTTTTCCCCCCCCCCGGCCCCCATTACCACCCCCAAGAGACCCCTTTTTCCCCTTCCCAAAACCCTCCCCCCCTTGTTTTTTTTTGGGCGGCTGCCCGTGGTTGGGGGCACCCCCCCGTCCTTTCCCCCTTCCCTCCCACCCCCCAGAAGGGCCTTTTTTCCTCCCAAACCCTAAAAAGTAAAATTGTTTAGAAAATTCATTCCTGTCCTTCCCCCCATATGTTTTTAAATGCCTTTTTTTTCCCCCCCCCCCCCCCCCTCGCAACCTCCCTGCTGCCCTGTGGACCCCCCGATCCCCCCCTGTTTTCTCCCCACCCAAGAAGGGCCTAAACCTTCCAACCCCTCTGCTTGCTGGTGACCTGTCCCCCCTTGCCGTCTGTGTGTTGTGTGTTGTGTGTGTGTGAGTGTGTTCTTGTACCTTCCCCCCCACCCCCTGTAGGGGCTACTCCCCCCCCCCCCCCCAAAACCCCCTCTGCTCTGTTGAAAAACCTGTTCCCCCCCCTGCTTCACACCCAGAAGAACAACCTTCCCCCCTTCCCACCTCCTGCCTGCCCCTTGTGGGACCCCCCGTCCCCCCTTTCCCCTCCCCACCCAAGAGGCCTTTCTCCCCAAACCTCCTTGCTGCCTTTTGTGGTGACCCCCCCCCGTCCCCTTTTATTCCTCCCACCCACGAAGCCCTTCCCCCAACCTCTGTCCCTTGCTGTGAACCCCCGTCCCCGTTTTTTACTCCACCCAAAAGAGGACCCCTTTTCCCCCCAACCCTCCTTGGGCTTGCTTGTTGTTGACCCCTTCTTGTCCCCCCTGGCCTCCACCCAGAGGTCCCTTCTCCACCGGTGGCTGCCCATTGCGGCCTGGTGGACCCCCCGTCCCGCCCCCCCTTCTCCACCCCAAGAACCTTTCCTCCACCAACCCTTCTTTGCCCTGGCTGGTTTTGGGGGACCCGTCCCCCCCCTTTTCCCCCCCCCAACTAAAAGGAAAAAAAAAAAACGTCCCCCCCCCCCCCCCCCCTCCAAACCCTCCCCCTTTTTGGCTGGCCTATTTTGGTGATCTCCTTCTTTCCCCAACAACAAAACAACGGAGGAGGAAAAAAAAGGGGAAAAAAGAAGAAGATCCCAACAGCAGCAGAAGGTGGAGACGGTTCACTCCCCCTAGGTGGGAGAAGGACAAACGGGTCACAAGCAAGCCAAGAAGGTGGAGAAAAGTCCTCTGGGTGAGAAGAACGGGTCACAGCAAAAAGCAAAGAGGTGGGAGAAGCCCCTCTTTGGTGGGGAGGCCCAGGACAGGTTCCCCCCCACAAGCAAAAGCAAAGAGGTTTGGAAAGAAAGTCCCGCCTCGGGGGTGGGGAGAAAGGGAAAACGGGTTCCCAACAAAGGCAAAACAGCAAGAGGTGGAGAAGGCCCCCTCCTGGTGGTTGGGAAAGAAAAGGGGACCGGGGTTTCCCCCTCACCAAGCCCCAGAGGTTTGAGAAAGGCCCCCCCTCTGGGGTGGGGGGAGAAAAAAGGAACGGGGATTTCCACAACAGCCAAAAAAGAGGTTGGGGAAACAGTCCTTCCCTGGGGGGTGGAAAAGCAGGTTACAAAGGTCCCCCCCACAGCAGCCCAAAGGTGGAGGTAAGCCCCTCTGGTGGAAGCAGGGAAAACCAAGGGTCCAAAACGCAGCAAGGAGGGTGGAAGTAAAGCCCCCCCCCTCTGGGTTGGAAAGAAAAGAACGGGGTGTTCCCCCCCCCACAGCAGCAAGAGTGGAAGAAAGCCATAAAACCAAAAGAAAGAACAGAACATGAATTGTTTTCCTTACATTTTTGTAAATTTTTTAGGTTGGGAAGAAAAAGCCCCCTTTGGGTGAAAAGGCACGGTTCCCCACAGCAGCAGAGGTGGGGGGAGAGAAGTTAACCTCTCTGGGGTGGGAAAGCAGGGACAGTTTTCCACCAAGCAAAGCAAAAGAAGATGTGGCCCCGGCCGCCCTTTTGGTTGTTTGGAACCAGTTTTTTCCCCTCCCCCCCCCCCCTCCTTGCCTCCTTAGTCAAAAGTCAAAAAAGGAAAAGGTTTTTCAAGTTAGCCCATGTTTTTTTTTTCAAGAAAAAGTTATTTTTTTAGCAAAATTCCCTCCCCAGTTCCAGACCCCATGAAAATCCCCCTCCTCCCCTGCTTCCGGTCCTGGACCAGTGGGGTGTAAAACCATGGGAAAAATCCTCTTTTTCCCGCTCCCGGTTCCCTGAACCCAAGTTTGCAAAAAAACAAGTAATGCAACACTGTTTTAATAAAAAAAAAAAACAAAAACTGCACAAAAAACCAATCCTCGAGGGTTAAGAAAAAAGGCAACAATACCCAATAGAAATTGTAAAAGCAACCAAAAAAAACAACCAACTGGTTTTTTCATGAGCGACTTCCAATCTACTGTTTATTTGCAGCCGTTTTTTTTTTCCGTCGCGTCCTTTCCAAAAAAAAAAAAAAGACAAAAAATAAAATTTGGATTTTTTTTTACTTTTTATCCAGGGGTAAATGGAAAAATTAAAACAAAGTATAAAAAACAAAAAAACCTAGACTTTTTTTTTATTACAAGTCCAAATTGAATGTCCGGTTAAAAATTAAAACAGAAAAAACAGAAACCAATATTTTCCATCCTTTGTTTAAAAAAATGTTAAAATTGGAAAGTGGGGAATAAAACCAAAGGTTTTTTTTTAATAAAATTTCGGTGCAATTTAAAAACCTGTTTTTGTGGATAAAGGGAATACGCAGGGGTTACAGTGTTGGGGGGGTTGTAAGGGTTTTTTTTCCCCAAAGCATAGAAGGGGGGGAAAATATTTTAAAGTTTGTTTTTTGTTTTTTTAAATGGTGGGGAATTCCGTAATTGTGCCCCTTTTTTTTTTTTTAAATCTTGGCCCAGAGGGAAAACACAGCCCCTTTTAGAAAAACCAATCCGGCCCCTCGGGAAAATGACGATAATAAGCCCCCCCAAGAAATTTTTGCCAGTTTTTAAACCCCCAATACTTCCCCCCGAAAAAGCATGGGGCCCCGCCAAATAAAAGGGGACGGTGGAAAATTAGGAACGATTTTCTAAAGGGCCCCCAGGGCCTGATGAAGGGGGCCCCCAGAAAGCAAGAACCACCCTCCTTTTTTATTTTCCCCTTTGTTTTTTTTTTTCTTATTTTTTTCTTTTTTTTTCTCTTTTTTTTTTTAATAACATACGTTTAAATGTGGCCCTAGGGGCCCCCCACCCCCCCCATACACCTTTAAATGGGTGTTTAAAAATCTTTTTGTCCCCCCGTTTTTGGGACCATAGATTTTTTAATAATTTTTAACAACAACAAATAAATTGTTAACTTTACCTTGGTTTTAATTTTGTTTTATTATTTGGTTTTTGTTTTTTTTTTTTAAGTCCCACCCAACCCCCCCCTCACAATTGGGTTTTTTTTTTTTTTTTTCCTTTGTCCCACCTGGTCCGCCCTTTGTCCCCTCCCCCGAAAGCCCCTACCACTCCTAGCGTAAAAAACGTCCCTTACTGGGCTTTAATTGCCCCCCAAAAATTTTTAGGTTATAGGGAGTGCAAGTTGGGGGCAAAAAAAAGATAGTGAACCCCCCCAAACATGCAGCGCCCCCATGGATCCACAATCCAAAAAAAGGTCAGGGGCCATCAAAAAAACCGGAAAAAAGGAAAAAGGAAGGAAAAAAGAAAGAAGACCCGAGAACGCCGAAAAGGTCCCGACCAAGAAAAAAATGTTCACCCCACACAGTTTTTTTTATATTAGTTTTTTTCCAAAAAGAAAGGTAGCTTTGGCCCTAAAATTGTTCCCTTGGTTTTAACAATTTTCCAAAACCTTTTTTTCACCATACTTTTATTTTTTGTTTTTTGCTTACATGACCCTGCCTTTTATTTTAATCTAGCTAGCTCAGTAAAAAAAAAATTTACCTGGAAATTATATTTTATACACATCCAACAATAAATAACCCATTCTCTGGGGCCGGTCCCCCCCCCCCCCCCTCCGGGTTAATCATGTTCCCCCTCGTCATGTCTCGTAGACACAGATTCAGCGGCCGCTGCACACCCACGTCTTCCTTCCCCCGCGGCCCCCGTCCCCGTCTCAGCCAAACAAGGTGAGCCTGAGCGCAAAACTTCACAAAGATTGAAAGCTCTAAGCACGTCTTATCTACTGTGTTCTCCACATGATGATAACTTTACTAAACAAAAAGTAATCTACACGCTTCAAAAATTACAAAATCAGTTTGCCGTGTGTTCTGTGAAGTGACAGTGCTGCTGCCTCGATCGATGCTGTCAAACTTGACGTTCTTAATATGAATAAAATGCCCCTTGAAAAAATAATATAAAGTGGAATAAAAATGTGTCTGTGGTAACCATTGGCTATAATTAGTTTACAGAATAGATATTTTAATATTTTATATTAAGAAAACTTTACAAATTTTTTTTTTTCTTGTGTTGTATAGTTATCTATTTCATATTATTCAACAATGCAGTTAAGAAAATATGAATTCTAAGCTGTAACTTCTTGACTGGGGAAAAAAAATGATTTTGCTATCCTTACCCCACAGAAAGCGGTGGGAATAGTGGAATATGAGCGCACAGAGGGAGCCCTAAGTGTGAAGGAAGATAACAGAAGAGGGGAAGATGAGAGAACAGAGGAAGCCATGAGAGCAGACTCAGAGGAAGATGAGAGAACAGAGGAAGCCATGAGAGCAGACTCAGAGGAAGATGAGAGAACAGAGGAAGCCATCAGAGCAGACTCAGAGGAAGATGAGAGAACAGAGGAAGCCATGAGAGCAGACTCAGAGGAAGATAAGAGAACAGAGGAAGCCATGAGAGCAGACTCAGAGGAAGATGAAGAAGAGACTGTTGTGTCAAATGATCCTGGTTTGTGGCCAGCAAAAATTAGCAATGCAGACAGAGAAAAGATTGTGCAAAAAATAGCCTCTTCTAAAGATAAAGAACAAGAAATGCCACATGATTCAAAAGGTAAAGCCTTCCCCGAATACCTAAAGTACACAAAGTCAGGAAATTGCAGGGAAAAGATTAAGAGAGACTGGGTCATTTACAGCCAAAGCACAAATGCACTATTTTGTATTCCTTGTGTATTATTTGGTCATGGGCTAAAGAAACCTTGTATGAGCGCACTAAGCAGTCAACATGGTTATAAAATCAAAGACATAACATGGCGTCGAATGTATGATAAATTCCCTAACCACGAAAGTAGCAAAGCACACAGGGAGTGCTACTTAAAATGGAAAACCTTACAACAGTCTGTAATGGCAGCTGTCCCTGGGGGAATAGACAGCAAGCTGAAGAAGCTCATACAAACAGAAATAGACAAAAATCGAGCTATTCTGAAGAGGATACTAGATGTAACCTTGTTCTTGGCCTCTCGAAATTTACCCTTTAGGGGTAAAACAAAAGACTTGGGGGACATTCATAATGGCAACTTCTTGGGCACCCTTGAGCTCCTGTCCCATTATGACCCACTACTCAACGAACATCTACAAAAAGTCAGAGACAAAAAAACAGGAACAAGACTGACACACTATTTAAGCTCAGATATTCAGAACGAATTTATTGAGTTATGTGGAAAACGAGTGTTAGGTAGTATTCTTAAGGAAAGGGAGGAATCAGTCTATTATTCAGTCATTTGCGATGCTACTCCGGATATTTCACATACAGAGCAAAATGTATTGCTCTTACGATATGTAGGTTTTGATCAAGAAAACAAGAAATGGGAGGTTGTTGAAAGGTTTTTGGAGTTTAAAGATTTTCACAAAAAAACAGGAAGTGAGATAGCAGACATGGTTGTAAATGTGCTTAATAGTCACGGCATAGATCTGAATGACTGCAGGGGCCAAGGCTATGATAATGGGGCAAACATGTCTGGAAAAATCAAGGGGGTTCAAGCCCAATTATTAAAAAAGAATAAGCTGGCTACTTTTTCCCCTTGTGCGTCTCATACTCTGAACCTTGTTGGTGTGCATGCAGCTCAATCAAGTCCAGAGGTTACTAACTTTTTTGGCTTTGTCAATCGTCTTTATGCCCTTGTTAGTGCCAGCCCAGAGCGATGGGCCATCTTTAAGGCAAAAACGGGTTGCACTTTACATCGTCTGTCAGACACTCGGTGGAGTTCAAGGGTTAAGGCTGTTCAACCTATAGCCAAGCACCTGCCCAGTGTCCTAGAAGCTCTTGATGCCATCCTCTCAACCTGCAGTCTGACACCAGAGGCTCGGTCTGAAGCCAGCGGCCTAAAAAAGTATTTTGAAACTTTTGATACTGTTTTTCTGTTGACTGTTTGGGTCAAAGTTCTGCAAGCCATTGACAAAAGGAATATTATTCTCCAGTCAGGGAAATTAACTCTTGAGATAGAGGCAGAAAATATCAGAGCTTTGCAGGAGGAGATGCAACATCTGAGGGATGAATGGGAGAGTTTCTTTTCTGAAGCATCACTTGTTGCACAACAGATGAACATTAACCCTCTGTTCAGGTCAAGATTCAGCCGCCAGAGGAAAAGAAAACGGTTTCACGATGAGACAGAGGTAGAGGGAGCAAGGGAACACAGTGCAGACACCATATTCAGAAACACAGTGTTTCTTCCCATGATGGACCACATAATCAGTGACTTAAGTACCAGGTTTGCCACAACAGCTGAGATCTTGGATCAGTTTTCTGTAGTTGTAAAAATGGGCCAGTTACATGATGATCAAATCCATTCTGTATGCCAGCCATTGATTTCAAAATACAACACTGATCTGACTTGTGAATTTGAAGATGAAGTCAGACACCTCAACTCTGTATATAGGGCCACTTTCCCAGGGTGTCTGTCACCAATTGATCTGCTCAACAGCATTTACAAGATGCAGCTGCAGAGTATTTTTGGGCAGGTCTGCATGGTTTTGCGAATATTTTGGACATTGCCTGTGACCGTTGCTGGTGGTGAGAGAGCATTCAGTAAGCTCAAACTGATTAAAAATTATCTTAGGTCTGCTATGTTGCAGGACAGACTTTGTCACCTTGCCATACTGTCCATTGAAAGCAAACTGGCAAGAAAGCTGAACTTTGATGATTTGATACATGATTTTGCCAGCAGAAAGGCACGCCGCTGGGCCATTATAAAGTGATGTTGAACATAATTTGTTATACCTGGATAACAAACAGTTTATGTCTGGTTCAGTACTTCTTTAGTCCTGGACTGGTTTAGGCCTGGCATTACTCCTGGTGTGTCTTGATTTTGAGCCCTTTTGGCCTAGTTTTAGTCTTGGACTGATTTAATTATGGGTTAGTTGTAGCTGATGTTTCCTGATTGAGCAGTTGGACCCAGTTAAAGCTTGTTCACGTAAAGTATATGTCAATATGTGTACATTATGTTCTGTTGTGTTTGCAATTGCAATTGAGATAATAAATATTCTCCTTTTATGTAAACAAGTACATATTTCCATAGCTTTTTCTTGTTTTTGTAGGCTTTTACTCATCAGAAATTTTAACTATGCAATGTGCTAAGTATCTTTTTTAAAATATACAGGGCATGTTTATTGGGTTACATTTTATCTGTAAAAAATGTAGGGGGCCCAGAAATTTTTGTTTCCATAGGGCCCAGAATTTCTGGCGGCACCCCTGCTCGTACGCATTCAGTGCCGACATGTTCACACGCCGGGGTTGTCCTCTTTGGTGAAGTTGAATAAAAATACAACATTCCAGTGATATGTCCGTCATATCGATGTATGTATTTATTTATTTGTAGTAATCTTTATTAGTAATCTTTATTTATATACCGCCTTTTTCACTGCAGATCTGGCCTACTTTTTAATTCATTTTGAAATGAAATGTGCCAACGCTTTATCAAATACATTGGAAATCTTGCCGTGTATTAGTGACCCCTTCCTATTTATAGGGGGCATTTGTGGAGATTGGAAACTGTGTCTCAGATCATATGGCCCTGACCTGTGGAGTACCACAGGGGTCGATCCTGGGACCTCTTCTGTTCAATCTCTACATGCTGCCGTTAGGTCAGTTAATACGCAGAAACGAAGTTTCCTATCATAACTATGCAGACGACACTCAGATCTATGTCTCACTGACTGCAGGAGAACATGGACCAGTGGACTCACTCCTTCACTGTATCCAACAGATCAGTGAGTGGATGCAAAACAACTTCCTTCAGCTAAACACAGACAAAACTGAAATGATTGTCTTTGGTCCCCAGAAACAAAGAGAGAGCGTCATCTGTCACCTACAGTCTCTCTCCCTAAAACCTTCAAACAAGGTCAGAAATCTAGGGGTAATACTGGACTCAGACTTAAATTTTAATAGCCACATCAAATCAGTAACATCAGCAGCTTTTTACCATCTAAAAAACATTGCCAGGATCAAAAACATAGTGTCTAAAGCAGACTTGGAGATTCTTATCCATGCATTTGTCTCCAGTAGGTTAGACTACTGCAATGGCCTGCTCACAGGTCTGTCCAAACAGGCTGTAAAACAGCTGCAGTACATTCAAAATGCAGCAGCTCGAGTCCTGACAAGAACCAGGAAGTACGACCACATTAGTCCAGTCCTCAGGTCTCTGCACTGGCTTCCTGTGGCTCAGAGAATAGACTTTAAAACAGCTCTGCTTGTGTACAAGTCTCTCCATGGCCTCGCACCAAAATATATTAGTGACATGTTAGTCCCATATGAACCAGCCCGGACTCTGAGGAGCACAGGGACTGGACTCCTGTTAGTGCCCAGAGTCAGAACTAAACATGGGGAGGCTGCTTTTCAGATTCATGCTGCTAAAATCTGGAACAGTCTTCCTGGAGATGTGAGACAGGCCTCCTCTCTGACAATGTTTAAAGCCAGGTTAAAGACAGTTCTGTTTAGCTGTGCATACAACTGAGGGATTTTATATTTGTATCTTTCTTTTTAATGTTCTGTGATTATTTATGATTTTAATGCTTTCTTGTTTTGTTCAGCACTTTGAATTGCCTTGTGTATGAATTGTGCTATATAAATAAACTTGCCTTGCCTTGCCTTGCCATTTCTTTATTCACGGGCCACAGAACAACGGCATATATACTGCTGCTGCAGGAGGTTACTGGGTCCGCGCTGAGTCTCTGCGCTGGTCTCTCCTATGGATCTATACGGGTCTGCACTGGTCTCTCCCATGGATCTATACGGGTCTGCACTGGTCTCTCCCATGGATCTATACGGGTCTGCGCTGGTCTCTCCCATGGATCTAGACGGGTCTGCACTGGTCTCTCTCCATACGGGTCCGTGCTGCATGCTCCTGGATCCTACGGGTCCGCGCTGGTCTCTCAAGTCTGGTCTATGCGGTCTCTCTTCGGTCCGCGCTGGTCTCTGCGCACCGGTCTCTCCAGTCAGGTCACTCCAGTCTATGCGGTCTCTCCTGTCCGCGCTGGTTTCTGTGTGCTGGTCACTCCAGTCTCTCCTCGGGTCTGCATTGGTCTCAGCGCTGGTCCGCGCTGGATCTCCTCCCAGGGTCCAAAATATTTTGAGATTAATCTCAAAACATTTTGAGATTCATCTTTAAAATAATACATAATATATTTTTAAATTAAGATCATAACATTTTGAGATTAATCTCATCATATTCTTAGATTAATCTCATAATTTTGCTAGTTCGACTTTATTATCATAATATTTCGACTTTTAAGTCAACATTTTATAACTTTATTCTCAGTCTGGCAAAAGCCTGCTTTAGGCCTGTTGCTGTTTCCTCAGCCGTCTGCACACGGCCCTGCAGTCCCTTATATGGGCATTAATGGGCGGTTACTTATGCTAAGTACCTATGCTAATGAAGCACCTGGCACGCGCGCTGTACTTACGAGGAAATGGGATTCATCAATCTGAGAGAACAGCTGCGAACAATTCAGCGGCTTACGAGTGCGTTGATGAATCCCACGTGGGGACTTCCTAGAAATCTACTTAAGGACAACTTGAGAAGAAAGTTGAGTAGTTTCTTACGTAGTTATTCGTGAATGAGGCCCATTGTCTTTTTATACAGACCTAAATTACAACAGCAGTTGTCTACAAACACAGGAAATGCAACAATAACAAACACATAAGGAGCGGGATGACCAATGTTCATAAATGTCCAAGGAAGGCAGGAGACGACTCAAAAAGAACAACACGGTTTGAAAAAGTGAGAAACCTCAGAAAGGCGAACAGACTGTAGATCCAGGACTGTGGCTGTAGACCCAGGACTGAGGCTGTAGACCCAGGATTGAGGCTGTAGAGCCAGGACTGAGGCTGTAGACCCAGGATTGAGGCTGTAGAGCAAGGACTGAGGCTGTAGATCCAGGACTGAGGCTGTAGATCCAGGACTGAGGCTGTAGACCCAGGACTGAGGCTGTAGATCCAGGACTGAGGCTGTAGATCCAGGACTGAGGCTGTAGATCACTGAGGCTGTAGATCCAGGACTGAGGCTGTAGATCCAGGACTGAAGCTGTAGATCCAGGACTGAAGCTGTAGATCCAGGCTGTAGACAGGACATTTTTTAAGCATTCCTCACAAGAATGCCATGTCATTTTTCATTTAAATACAAGCCCCTATATGTACTCCTCTGTAATCTTTAGTTTTACGTTTGCAAACTTTTAATAATCACACCATAAATCTGTCCACAACTCTATCTTTCAGAAAACACACTTGTCTCACATGCTGGATCACAGAGCAGTGCGTAAAAATGCTTAAAATATACTTTATAGCTGGCATTACCTCACATTCTCACCGTATATAGTCAAAAGTGCAGTTTTCATGTCCTGCTGCTTATGATCCAAGGGCTGAGAATATGATTTCTGAATTTTCTTTTTCTTCTGTGGAACAAAGCAGGAGATACTTTCTCGGGCAGGATTTTGTGATGGAGGCGGAAAAGTGCAGCGGTAAGGTTTTACAGAGCTGTGTAGGAATATTAATACGTACAGTAGCAAGAACACTTAACATAAGAGGTCTACTGAACATGTTTTTAGTGGTAAGAGAAACCGGAGCACCTGGAGGAAACCTACAGAGACACAGGAAGAGGTGATTTTGTATGTTTCTATAGAAAACCTTTAAAACACAAGGAAGGGCTCGCTTATTATTACTATTATTATTATTATTATATTTATTATTATTATCATCATCATCATCATCATTATTATTATTATTATTATTATTATTATTATTATATTTATTATTATCATCATTATTATTATTATTATTATTGTTATTATTATTATAGATACGTGTTGTGAGTGTGAACATTGGAGAGGGAGGAGTAAAGGAGGTGGAGGATGGAGAGAGAGGAGCAGAGGTGGTGAAGGAAGGAGCGAGAGAGGAGAAGAGAGGATGGAGAGCAGAGTCATTCTGCAGGAATGCTGGTGTGATGGGACCATTTCTCAGATCTATAATCAGAACCAGCTGTCAGCAGGAGGGGGGAGGGGAGGATCCAGAGGAGGAGAGGAAGAGAGGAGGAGAGGAGGGGAAAGAAGGAGAGGGGAGAAGAGGAGGATAGGATTCGAAGGTCTAGAAGGGGAGAAGAATCCAAACAGGGAGTTAGAGGGAGATGAGATGATCTAGAGAAGGAGAGGAAAGGGTCCAATGGAAGGGATGGAGGGAGGAGGAGGAGAGAAGAAGATCCTGAGATCAGCGTTTTCAGACAGAAAAGTGAAATAGAAAGGTCCACCCTCAGTCCACTGCTTGATGCATGTAACTCACAGGGATCAACAGTGAGAAACTATCATTTCACTACATTCAACTTAGAACGACTCAGAGCCATGGATCTATAATAATAACTGGATATAGGGTATTACTATCTTGGAGCTGAAGGACCCACATGCTTGGGCACACGGTACTGCAGACTAAACATGTCTAAATTCACGTGGGCTACCCAGAATGTTTCCCTATAGAACTCCTTGCAAACTAAAACAGCTCGACCTCAGCTGACAGAGAACCTACAGCTATCATAAAGGTCGGATTTTGTGGGGATTTTAATGTCCCTTGTCATCCTGAAATTTTTTTCTTCTGTAGATCCTTCTGTTTTCTTTAAATCAACACTTTACTGTCACAAACTCTGTTCGTTTGGCTCCCGCTCTAACTCCACTCTAATCGGCAGCTCTGATCGATTAGAGCGCGGCCAAGCCCCTCTGTGCACGTGCATGAGAGCCACACATGCCTATTTGCCGCAATGCATTATGGGAGCTCACATCTGTTTGGACCAGACGATGCCCAAATATGGGCGAGTTCCGCTAATCTTTTGGTGCCCGTGGTGGCATATACGCCACTGAGCACAGTCAGAGTCATCTTGGATCAGCAGGGCTTCCTCAGACCTCTGTCTCAGACTTCTGTCTCAGACCTCTGTCTCAGACTTCTGTCTCGGACCTCTGTTTCGGAACTCTGTCTCAGACTTCTGTCTCAGACCTCTGTCTCGGAACTCTGTCTCAGACTTCTGTCTCGGACCTCTGTTTCGGAACTCTGTCTCAGACTTCTGTCTCAGACCTCTGTCTCGGAACTCTGTCTCAGACTTCTGTCTCGGACCTCTGTCTCGGAACTCTGTCTCAGACTTCTGTCTCAGAACTCTGTCTCAGACCTCTGTCTCGGAACTCTGTCTCAGACTTCTGTCTCAGAACTCTGTCTCAGACCTCTGTCTCAGACTTCTGTCTCGGACCTCTGTTTCGGAACTCTGTCTCAGACTTCTGTCTCAGACCTCTGTCTCGGAACTCTGTCTCAGACTTCTGTCTCAGAACTCTGTCTCAGACCTCTGTCTCAGACTTCTGTCTCAGAACTCTGTCTCGGAACTCTGTCTCGGACCTCTGTCTCGGACCTCTGTCTCGGACCTCTGTCTCGGACCTCTGTCTCGGTCCTCTGTCTCGGACCTTTGTCTCAGAACTCTTTCTCGGACCTCTGTCTCAGTTTGCTTCTTTACACTATTGACTATGACACGACTTCTGTACTTTACTTTTCCATGGGCAGATGTTACATTCCCCTCTCCATACCGAGCGGCCACCCCCAAAACAAGCCTGTTTTCTCTGAATCTATTGATCAAGCTGACGACGACACTCCATACTTTCCTCATGATTTAATTTGGCTTCAGTTCATCTTCATTCACAAACATCCTTGTTTTTTTCAGCACTTTTGATTTCACCGCTAAAATATGAACTTGCTCTAGCAGCTGCACCGTCCGTCTCTAACGCATTTATAGTCAGAAATCTACAGGAAAAATCCCATAAAGACATTTTTAAACCGACTCATGTCTTTTACTAGCACCAATGTACATCAGTTACAGTGATAGGGAACAGATTTCAACCCACATAAAACCTAATGCAGTAATTGTATTTTGTTGGGACAAATGGGAAACACGTGTGGATTTAAAGCTCTAAACATTAGCGTCGGGGTCTTCCTCTCCCTGCGGTGAAAATACTTTTATGATCCATCTCCGTCCTACGCCTCATTGGCTGAAGCTCTGGTTGTGGTTGCCTGGTTTGCTTGTTCTTCTCCTGATTCATAGCCGTTTGAAAGCCGACCTCTCTCAGAATGGTCGACCCAAACGTCCCCAATGTAAAGCAAGTATGTTGTGGAGATATGAGAAAGCCTGGGTTTAAAGGGTAGAATATAAATCAAATATTAGAATCAAGAGGAGTGCTTTAGGTCTGCCATGAAGATGAATCTATGTTTAGATTTATGGTTCCTTTTAGTATTGCATCGTTAAAGAGTATTTTGTGTAAGTAAGTAAGTAAGTAAGTAGTAGTTTATTCATATCGTACCTTTCCCAGACCAGAGGCACAAAGTGTGTGTGTGTGTGTGTGTGTGTGTGTGTGTGTGTGTATGGACCTAATTATTGTACAATTTTTGTACTTATTTTGGAAATTGCCCATGAAAAATTCAAGTCAGTCAAAAAGCTGAGAAGCAGCTGTTTGACCTCTTGTTTTGTCGTGTATTTTAAATCTGCCTTGAAGTATTTGAAGCCGGAAATCTTCATCAGTGTCTTTGGGGAAAACTGTGAAATCTAAATCTGTATCAAAACATTGACTTTTACAGATTGAGTTGGCGCAGCGCCAGTGCCTCCTGGGAAATGTAGTCTGTGGAAGATGACGTTTATTACCACAACAGGATCACCTCCTTGTGCTGAAGGGGAGTTTTAGTATCTTTATAAAGTTATACTTTGAGTTGTCTGTGACTGTGACCAGGGCCTGGTAAAACCATTTGAAACGAGGACCATTTTAGACTTATTCCTGATTCTGTCAAAGGCTGAGGTGTGATATAGTGTTGGAAAACTCTAATAATAATAATAAAACTGATATGTTTTTTGGGTTGGGAGTTACATACCCCAGCTTTTCTTTAGAATGTTCTGGAAACTGCAGCAAGTCCTAATTAATTTTGTGTTTTACAATTGATGGTTTTACTCTGATCCAGACCAGACTCTATCTTTAACTTTTCACAAGCCTTTCAGTGCATCTGTAGATTGAGAACAACATAGTCATCTTGTTTCCCTGGCATCCAATCGTAGCTATAATGAACTAATTAGAGAGATTAATTAACAACTGCAAACATGACAGTCTGCACCAGACTCTAATGCAGACTAAACCTGACTAATGCAGCATCACATGACCTCCCTCTGCTCTACGTGGCGAAAACGTGAGCTCAAACCGGATCTGTGTGCCCTCCCTCTCTCTCTAACCTTCTCTTCTTCTCTCTTCCTGTAAAAATGCTTTTGTTTTCGTCCAGCGTGGCACATATGGAGCAGGGATTATCCGTGAGTAGAAGGTGACGGTTCCAGGCGACAGTTGCACCACATGTTGGGAAACATAAGAGGATTTCCGTTTCATTGTAAACGAACAGAAAGTGCTTCACTGTGAGTTTTCATCACTGTGTTTTTATGGAACAATCTGTGAAGCTGTAACTGGACTCGAAGGGACGTCAGCGATGGGGAAAGTTGTGTTAATGAACATATTTATTTTCCTGCTGACAACATGATGACTACTGTTCTCATGTGCGCTGCAACACCGGAATTTCCCCACTGTGGGACGAATAAAGTTTCTCTTATTGTTTTACTGGCCAATTTTTTTTTTGTCTAGCCCTTGCTGATTAACAGCAAATTAAGAGCTAATTAGTATATAATTCATGTTTAATTGGCTCTTAATTAGTTGTCTTTGCCGAGTATTGCAGAATTGGCAAAGTCTGCAACATGCAGACTAGCAGACATAAATTATATTTTATTCATTTTTGATGCGGTATAACATCGTAGCTCTCTCTAGAAAGTGTAACAAGAACTGCTGAGTCTGTACAAATGTCACTGATGGTTCACCATAGTAACTTGTCACTAGTCACTTTACCTGCTGTTAGTACTGCTGTATTATTATATATCCATCAGATATTTACCTGCTGTTAGTACTACTGTATTATTATATATCCATCAGATATTTACCTGCTGTTAGTACTACTGTATTATTATATATCCATCAGATATTTACCTGCTGTTAGTACTACTGTATTATTATATATCCATCTGATATTTACCTGCTATTAGTACTACTGTATTATTACATATCCATCTGATATTTACCTGCTGTTAGTACTACTGTATTATTACATATCCATCTGATATTTACCTGCTAGTACTACTGTATTATTATATATCCATCTGATATTTACCTGCTATTAGTACTACTGTATTATTATATATCCATCTGATATTTACCTGCTATTAGTACTACTGTATTATTACATATCCATCTGATATTTACCTGCTGTTAGTACTACTGTATTATTACATATCCATCTGATATTTACCTGCTGTTAGTACTACTGTATTATTACATATCCATCTGATATTTACCTGCTGTTAGTACTACTGTATTATTACATGTCCATCTGATATTTCTGCCATTCACCAGTCACTTTACCTGTTGATATTATTTCTGATATTTATTCCGTTCATATGCATATTCCCATATTCTCCGCTGCTGTACATAGACATCTGTAAATACTTTTGAACCAGTGCAATTATAGCCCACAGTTTATTTTATTTTATTTTATTCTTATCTTAATTTTATTGTCTATTATCTTAAATAATAGACTTATTTGATGTGTGCAATCTGAGTGACTCATTTCCTTATTTCCTTTCTCTGCTGTAATGTGCGCAACGATGACACTGAAATTTCTCCACTGTGAGACTAATAAAGGTTCATCTTATCTTATCTCACAAAGTCACAAATCTTCATTGGAGTCATTTGAATAGGGGGAAACAATATGAAGTTTGTGGATAGGAAAGGATCATGGGGCCACTTGTCGCATAAGTGCACTTTGTCCATGTCTGAGTTAGCGACTTAGCATTAAATTGTAATCTATGTCTGATAATGTATGGTAATGTATCCATCTACTTTTATTTGACTGTTTTACAACAACCTGCTCAGGGACTACAGGTGTAAACTAGCACTGCTGCTACAACCTGGTACAATGCATCTCTCCTTCTGGCTAATGTTTACTGTACACTGCCCCTGTAAAAATAAAAACCATAACATACCATATCATACCATTGTCCACTTATAATCTGTCGTCACATGGCTCCATTGATCCATTTGTCTAAAGGGCCGTTTCCACAGGATCGACTCAACTCAACTCTTCCCGGTTTGCGGGCGTTTCCACAGCTCTCTTTAGGCGCTACCCGGTACTTTTTAAGTAATGGTTTGGCCCTGGTTCTAGCCGGGTCGACAAACATCAATTGTGATTGGTCAGAGGCACTGTCAAAGAGGGATTGACAGCGCCTTTGCCCAATCACAACAGATGTTTTTGTACCGACTCGGCCCGGCTAGAACCAGGGCCAAGCCTTTACTAAAAAAGCACTGGGTTCCAGCTGAAGCGAGCTGGTGGAAACACCTGCAAACCGGGCAGAGTCGGGCCTTTGGAAACGACCCTTTATTCACTGGGCCCTCTGTCAGAAGCAGTTTTCTACAGCACCTGGGACCGTCCGTGGAGGATTGTACTCATTATGCAAATTTTGGGATAATTGAGAGAAAATGGTGCATGCAAAACGATGAGACAGTTAGGATTCAAAAAACTGTACGGATCCAATCCTCCAGCACTATTTCTTTTGTCCTTCAAACAAAGAACCAGACGGGCCTAATCCAATCCTGCTCATATATCTACAGCCTTCATATGAACTATCATCACACTAATTATAATCACAGCTTTAATTTCCCCACATAAAGACATTGCTGTTATTGCACTTTTAGTTGAGTCTGTTGGTCCCACCGCTGTGAGCCAGCCTCCACCACCGCACGACTCTGAGGTCACAGAACTGCCATCTCTGTTTCTCTCTCGCTGTAACTGTAGAAAAAGGTGCTTTCCCGGCAGCTCTCTCCTCTTTCGAAGCTTGTAATATTTGTTTAGAGAATGATAGAAGATGAAATTGACTGACTGATCCACAGTTCTCAGGTTCAGAGTTCGGTCGTCGCTGCTGTGTCAATGACTGGAGGAAGATGGTGGTTTTCGATCACTCTGCATTTAAACAGCAACATCTCAAACTGGATCTGTCAATTATTTTTAGATCAAATTTTACAATAACCCTTCAATGGTCTGTATCTGGTTGCAAATATTGACTTACTTAATGGTGACTCAAAATGAGATCCACCAAATGGTTGAGGATCACTTTCTGAGTCACTATCGACTTGAAACTTGGAACTGAAATCGAACTCACTGTTGCATCTCGATCACTTTAGGCACTTTACCATCAAACTGCAGCAAGCACTTGGCAAAGTCCTCTATGGGGATAAAATAAAGTGCATATTTACATTACATTCTCAAGCCTATAAAGTTTGGTCATCAGCACTCCTACATCTTAGAAATTCCAAAAATATACTTGTTTTTCATTGCTTTCTTCATGTAGTGAACATTGAAGGGTTAAAATGGTTGTATATTAGTGCGGTTCAATTATA